CTCATACTTTTAATTTTGACAATTTCTTCCCAAACTTACAAACTTTTGGCAATTACACTCTAAATTAAAAACATTGTTACACACACTAAAGGAGTTCCTCGTATCCCTCACACTTGCATATTAAGAGGGACATTATTTAGAATTTAAACTAAAATGAAATTTCATGAGGAAAAAGTAAAAAAAATAAAAATAAAAAAATAAAATAAAATAAAGAAAAGGATAGATGGAGGAGTGATCTCCATCTCCCAAACACATATGGATGGGCAAGCTCGTTGACATCGTTGCCAAGGAAATCAACCTCGCCATATTGCACCACCAAATTTTACTCTCGGATGTTGATCCTCAAGAAGTTACTGATCGTTCTAAAAATTTAAACTATTAAGAGATGAATTAAAAATAGTAGATAATGTTGATAGATAATTTCATGCTTAACTTTTTTTGGTTTACTTTTTTGTTGTATTTAATTTATTCTTAGTTTTAATGAACATTACTCTAGTTATTTTTTTCCTTCAAAATTGTAACTTGTTCAAAATTCCATATGTAATTTTGTTTAAACGCTTACATTAGAGGCATGTGAATTGATTTAGTACAATTTCTTTTAAAGACGTAAATGATTCAAGGAAATTGTGAAAGTTACAAGTTTAAGGAGGGGCCAACATCTTAAACACAAAAAGTGTAGGGGCAATGGTGCCAATAACCTTATATTAGCACTTTTTTTTTTTTTTTTTGCTGCTAAAAAGAAGCCTTAGAATAGGAGGAGATTAGAGAGATTTGCTACGTTAAGGGTATTTCAGTAATTTTAATATAGGTTGCCAAAAAAATCCTAGAAGTACGGGGAGAATATCCAACAATAGAAGGGTGTGAGAGGAAATAAGTTAATTTGGGTAAGTAGACGTGAGCACAATCATTAAACACTCCCTAATACAAAGGGCGGGTTCCAACATCATCCCCAAGGCAGCCAGCTCAGCCAAAGACATAAGTGGATTTCTGGGGTTTTTTTTTTTTCCCAAAAAAAGGTTTAAATGCTTTTAATTAAGATTTTCTTGGGATAACATTATACATGTATATACACGTACATATGTTGTATGTATATCAAATACATGTAAGAAGGAAATGAAATGAAAGGGCATGGTTCGAAAAATTTATTTATGTACATTAATAATGTTTGTGACTTGCGACTCTGTTAATTTAATTATATAAAGGTTGTCCCGAATGCTTCCTATACCTTTCATGATTTAGTAAGTGAACAGTACTCATACTTTTAATTTTGACAATTTCTTCCCAAACTTACAAACTTTTGGCAATTACACTCTAAATTAAAAACATTGTTACACACACTAAAGGAGTTCCTCGTATCCCTCACACTTGCATATTAAGAGGGACATTATTTAGAATTTAAACTAAAATGAAATTTCATGAGGAAAAAGTAAAAAAAATAAAAATAAAAAAATAAAATAAAATAAAGAAAAGGATAGATGGAGGAGTGATCTCCATCTCCCAAACACATATGGATGGGCAAGCTCGTTGACATCGTTGCCAAGGAAATCAACCTCGCCATATTGCACCACCAAATTTTACTCTCGGATGTTGATCCTCAAGAAGTTACTGATCGTTCTAAAAATTTAAACTATTAAGAGATGAATTAAAAATAGTAGATAATGTTGATAGATAATTTCATGCTTAACTTTTTTTGGTTTACTTTTTTGTTGTATTTAATTTATTCTTAGTTTTAATGAACATTACTCTAGTTATTTTTTTCCTTCAAAATTGTAACTTGTTCAAAATTCCATATGTAATTTTGTTTAAACGCTTACATTAGAGGCATGTGAATTGATTTAGTACAATTTCTTTTAAAGACGTAAATGATTCAAGGAAATTGTGAAAGTTACAAGTTTAAGGAGAAAATTGTTAAAATTAAATGTCCAAGGGCCAACATCTTAAACACAAAAAGTGTAGGGGCAATGGTGCCAATAACCTTATATTAGCACTTTTTTTTTTTTTTTTTGCTGCTAAAAAGAAGCCTTAGAATAGGAGGAGATTAGAGAGATTTGCTACGTTAAGGGTATTTCAGTAATTTTAATATAGGTTGCCAAAAAAATCCTAGAAGTACGGGGAGAATATCCAACAATAGAAGGGTGTGAGAGGAAATAAGTTAATTTGGGTAAGTAGACGTGAGCACAATCATTAAACACTCCCTAATACAAAGGGCGGGTTCCAACATCATCCCCAAGGCAGCCAGCTCAGCCAAAGACATAAGTGGATTTCTGGGGTTTTTTTTTTTTCCCAAAAAAAGGTTTAAATGCTTTTAATTAAGATTTTCTTGGGATAACAACCTTTGATGAAGACACTTTTATAGGACAACACACTACAAGATTGTCCATCTTTGTTTAATTCATTAATGATAGCCATTGTTACTCTGAAAGAGGAAAAAAAAAAAAAAAGAGAGGAAGAAAAAAAAAAGAAATAAAATTGTTATTCTGAAAAAGGGAGAAAAAAAAAAAAGAAATAAACTAAAGAAAAGAAAGTTCACCGTTTTGCCCATTTCCGACCAGGAGTGACCGGGGACATTGCAAATGAGAATTAAAGAAATTTAGGTTCCGTTTATTTCACCAATTTAATTTTAAAATTTAAATTTTATTACAGTAAAAAGTTCTCATAAATAGTTATATTTATTTTTTTTATTACAGTAAAAAACTCTCACATAAAGTCACATCTCAACTTTAATTAGCGAATTAAATGGACCATTAAATTAGTTCATAGAGAATAAAAAATAATTAGGGATTTGTTGATGAAATAATGGGAAACTATTTGGAGAACAAACGAGAGCACTTTAAGTCGACGTGGAATTACTGAAAAAGCCGCGAGACTCTAATTTTGAATTTTGATCATTCTTATTCATTCAAACTGATAAGCACATGAATAGGTAGTCAATTAAAAAATTTGACAGGAAAAGGTCCTCATGCTTTTGATGAATAGTAGAATTCAGTGGTCTTTTTATATTAATAATTTTATCCATCCTTTTCTTCAAGAAAGAAAAGATGTTACATAAAAAAAAAACTAAAAGGTTAGATAAAATTTTTTTTTATACTTTTTTTTTTTGGAATAACAATGCACATATCATATTATTCTCAATCAAACTCATATACCTAAGTAGTCACATATGTTGAAATGTTTTAACCACTAGCACTATATAAGAATTTACGTTACTTTTTTACGCCCTGATTTTAACTTATAAAAAATGTGTAATATGAATTTTGAATTTTTTTAATACTGTACAATTGAATTTGAATTTCATATCAATTCTATTAATCTTCTCTCAGTTAATACCACTTACTTAAATGAGGACTTTATTCTTTAAAAATTATCATGAACTAGTAATTAATTTGTTCACTGCATGGCTCAACTAATAAAGTTGTCATTTCAATCGTTTAAATCAACATTTAACCGAGAAAAAAAATATAACTTTGATATGAAATTGAAATCTAGATATATAATATTGAGAACATCCAAAATCATGTATAGTATATATTTTTAATAAGCTTAAATTACATACTATAAAATAGTAAATAATGCTATAAAAATGAAGGATACCATATTACTTGGTATATAATTTTTTTGCGAGTTAGTGCAAGTAAACATTATTTTAGTATTGTGTGTGTTTCAAGATGTAAGATTTTAGTATGTAAATATGAATTAATATTAAAAATTGAAGAAAAAAATAAAAGAAAAAGAAGTGAGTAGAAATGGTTCGGTAATGAAATTAAATCCATAAAAATTTAATTGGCAATGTTAATTGTGTGTACACCTACAAATTAGAAAAAAGAGAGAAAAATACTAATAATCAGCACCATCAAAGAGTGAGCACAATCAATGAGGTCAGTATAAACACAAATTACAATACCATATTAGGTAAGTTAATTTCCTAAAGACTATTAAATTGGAAATTGATACAAAGAAATTGGAATTACTAATAAAGATAACTACATATAACATATTGACTTTCTCCTGTGCTTAATTATGAAGGGGCAATTACTAGGCTTGAACTACCGCTGCTATATTGAATGTGTGTGTGTGTATGTATATATATATATATATATATATATTATTTTGGCTAGATATATTGAATGTAGTTCACAAGCAGAATTTTGAAGATTTTCCTTTGACCTCTCAATGGTAAATAATGGTAAATGGTAGTGGGACTTAAATTTTATAAATTTACTCGTGTCCTTAACTTATGCTCATGTGCAAACTTAAGACTGCTCTTAAAAAAAAAAAAAAAAAAAAAAAAGTCTTCCAATACTCTTAACCAGTCCATGACACAAATGAACTCTCCTTTTAGTTTCATTAATATTGCCAACGGATCAAATTAGACAAGGACATTTTGAATTACATTAATACATCATAAACAAACATTAACCACATTTTCAATGCTACATTTAACATTACTACAAATTACATTACTTTCCTAAAAATGATTTAAGGAAAAAAAAATCATAAGAGAGAGAAAGCGACAGAGCAATAGGGAAGAAGGGGTTGAGGAGTTAAGGGAGAGAGAGAGAGGGAAGCAATACTACTCTCTCGTGAAGCTGCAAAGTTATAACATATCATAGAGAGCGAAAGAGAGAGAGAGAAAAAAAAAAAAAAAAAAAACCTTCACAAAAGAAAAAAAGAAAAAGAAAAATCAAATTCTTTGCTTGCTTGTTTTACATCACGGGATCCATCCCACTCTTCTCCTTCCTTTCTTTCTTTCTTTCGTTGTTTCTGACTTCTTATGTGTCTTCCTCGCTACCTGTCTTTTTCCGTATTCTTCTGTCTTCTTCTTCTTCTTCTTCTTGTTCTTCTTCTTCTTCTTGTACTTTGAGTTCGCTCACATTCTTTAGGAACTCAGCAAAACTAGATTTTTTTTCCTTCTTTTTTTTTTTTTTTTTTTCTTTCACGAAACAGAAAAGAAGAACAGATTTTTTACTTTTATATATTTATAGATTTATACATTTTTTTGTTTTATTTTCTTCTATATATATATATTTATATTATACATACTTATAATTAATGTCGAACGCCGGGAAATCCACACAGGAAATGGGGTTTGATTCTTCACTGACGAACCGATTCCGTGACTCACTGAGTTGCGACAACAAGCCGGACTTCAAAGAGCTCGATCTGAACTCGCCCGTCTCGCCGTTAATGGCGGCTCGGCCGTCAGTTAACTGTAACGGAGCGACCACCACTTCCAGTAGCAGTTCGAGTTCTTCCGGTTCGGTGTCCGGCAAGCCCAGCAGCAAAAAACACCACCATTCCGGCGAGCTCTCGGCCTCGTCGGAGACGAGCCCTAGCCGATCCGCTCCGGCGGTTCGGAATATCAAACCCGGTCACCGGAGATCGGTCTCCGCCGGGCCGCCATTGATCTACGCCGGCGGAAGCTTCAGCAATGGCGGCGGGGGCGGGGGCAGGTCAGGCGGAGCTAGTTCCGGCAACAGCGCGACTTCTTCTTCTTCTTCTTCTTTGTCGTCGTCGGCTTCTTCTTCTGCGGCGAATCTGTTCCCCAGCGGGAACATCTGTCCGTCGGGGAAGATTCTGAAGGCCGGAATGGGGAGCAGAGCGGCGAGCAAGACGGACGTGTTGGGTTCCGGGACGGGGAATTACGGCCACGGGAACATCATGCGCGGCGGCGGAGTGAGAGAGGGGAATTCGGGTGGGAAATCGGCGAGTTCGGATCCGGAGGAGGTGAAGAAGGCCGGCAACGAGTGTTACAGGAGGGGGAATTTCGCGGAGGCGTTGGCGATGTACGATCGGGCGATATCGCTCTCGCCGGAGAATGCGGCCTACCGTAGCAATCGTGCGGCGGCGCTGACGGCCTTGGGGAGGCTGGGGGAGGCCGTGAGGGAGTGTGAGGAGGCGGTCAGGTTGGAGCCTTCTTATGGTAGGGCCCACCAGAGGCTGGCTTCTTTGTATCTCCGGTAAGTGTCCCAAACTACAGGCTTTCTTCGTATTTGCTCGTATTTTGAATGATTTATGTGAATGTGATTGGTTCTCTTGTGAGGATTGGATTCGCCACTGGTTGATGTGTTGTCTTTCTTTGGTTTTTGCCTTTTTCTTACTGCATTGGTGGATTGGAATCTCGGGCTCTCAATGGCTTATGAATAGCAAATGAACGATTTGCAATTTTGATGACCAATTGAGCTGAACAATTAAATTTACAGCTTTGGGCAGGTTGAGAATGCCCGGTGCCACCTATGTTTTCCTGGGCAACAGCCAGATCAATCAGAGGTGCAGAAGTTGAAGTCACTGGAGAAGCATTTGAAACAATGTGCTGATGCCCGAAAGCTTGGAGATTGGAAAGGCGTGCTAAGGGAATCCGACGTGGCCTTGGCGACCGGGGCGGAGTCCTCTCCGCAGGTAGAAACCTTGTTTCATAAATCCATTGCCTTCTGAATCTGATTGACTGTCTGAAGAAATTTCAAATGTATTTTGGCTTATTAGAATGGAAATATTTGCAGCTTTTCGCTTGCAAAGCCGAGGCCCTTTTGAAGCTCCATCAACTTGAAGATGCAGAATTATGTCTGTCAAACATTCACAAGCTCGAGGATTACCCTTCTTCCTGCTTACAGACGAAGTTCCTTGGCATGGTTGTTGAGGCTTATGTGCTCTTTGTTCGAGCCCAAGTTGATATGGCATTAGGAAGGTAAGCATCCAAAGCATATGCTTCATAAGCAAAGTGGAAACTCGATTTTGGACAAGTAAGAATGCGTTGTAGATTTCTTGTAGGTTTGAGAATGCTGTGGCAGCAGCAGAGAAGGCAGGCCTAATTGATTACAGTAATCTTGAAGTTGCAAGGACGTTAAACAATGTGAAAATGGTGGCCAGGGCTCGTTCTCGTGGTAATGATCTTTTTAGCTCCGGGAGATTTGCGGAAGCCTGCTCGGCTTATGGCGAGGGCCTTGAACATGATAGTTCCAACTCTGTCCTATATTGCAATAGAGCAGTGTGCTGGTCTAAGCTTGGGGTCTGGGAAAAGTCCGTCGAGGACTGCAACCGTGCGCTCAAGATTCAGCCAAACTACATCAAGGCCCTTCTTCTCAGGGCCGTCTCAAATGCAAGGGTAACATTTTTGATGTTGTGAACTTTGCTCCTATCAACTTTCATTGTGCACGTTTGTTTGAATGTTTGACATCGTTTTTTATCTGATGGTACAGCTCGATAGGTGGGCGGAAGCTGTGAGAGATTACGAGGTCTTGAGGAGGGAACGTCCCGGGGACAGTGAAGTTGCCGAGTCTCTACACCGAGCTCAAGTTGCATTGAAGAAGTCATGTGGAGAGGGTGTTCACAACAAGAAGTTTGATGGTGAAGTAGAGGAAGTTTCTAGTCTAGATAAGTTCAAAGCTGCCATATTATCACCTTGTGAGTTCAATCCCTTTGTTCAAATGTGAATTACCTATCTTTAGTTTTTCCCTAGTCTTTACTTTACACTTACCTGTCTAATTGAAAATGAACTTTAACTTTCAGGCGTTTCGGTTGTTCATTTCAAAGCTGCTTCTAATGAACTATGCGAAGAGATATCACCTTTCATAAACATGCTGTGTGTTAGATACCCTTCTGTTAAATTCTTCAAGGTAATTTAATCATTAAGGTTCATTCATTGCGACCAATTTGGACTAGAATGAAAATTTGGTTAACTTTTTTCTCTCAAAGCTCCATGTTTGAATTGTTCTTGGAAATATGAATCTGAACTGCTGCTTTTTATACACGTCATGTCTTTTAGTAGCCAAGGAAGGAATATAAGCGCAAGAGCAATAGAAGTATCCCATTTGCACCTGAAGATAACTGTAATTGTCTTATATTTCAAAGACAGATCAAAAGGTTTTGTTCATGGTTTCGCAGGTGGATGTGGAGGAGAGCGTAGCTGTGGCAAAAGCCGAAAGCATAAGAACAGTGCCGACCTTTAAGATCTACAAGAATGGTGATAAATTGAAGGAGATGATCCGTCCAAACCATCAGTTTTTGGAGGAGTCAGTGAGAAACTGTACTCTTTAGAAGACAATGTCAAAATCCATTTTAAGTCCTCTTTAAATATGTGCAATTGGTCATTTTTATACTAGGATTACTAGTTTTTACTTTTTACCTGTGACATAACCAGGTATATAAATTGTTTCATAGAGTTTTCAACGCACAGAATCCCCTTAGAGAGAAAAAAATCAAAAAAAAAAAAAAAAAAAGCTTGTTTAGTTCACATATTTGGCGGAATTATATTTTTCTTTCCCGTTTTATTTGCTGTTGGTTTATTCTTTATCCCATTGGATTCCACTACCTGTCCCTTTTCAATTTTTTTTTTCAATTTTCTTTTTTCAATTTTATGTTTCGTCTCTGGACCTCATATATGCGTCCAGGGTCCTCTTTGTGATAGAGTGAAAAAAGGAGCTAAAAAAGTTTTTAATTTAATTATAATGTCCATCTAGATTATTTTTATTTTATTTTATTTTTTTAGGGAGGGAAGATGGACTTGGGAATTTTGGAACATAAAAGATTTTTTACTATAGCACATGAATATATATATTTATATATATATATATTATCAGTAGAGCACAGTTGAAACTGTTAGATGAGATCGTCACATTTTTTAATACGATTTGATTTTAATAAGATATAACGGTTTTTATTTGTATTTTATTAGAGTATTTTCTCATATATCTTACTGTGAAATTATCATGTATTTTTACATGCATAAATGATCATAAAAAAACGAAAACATGAGATAGTGTGGCGGTGGTGGATGGCGTTGATGCATACAAATGTTAATAAATTTGCATGCATTTAGCCGTAGAATGTTGACTGAGTCTCAAGTGCTAAGCCTTTAAAGGGTGGTTTTAGGTGAATTTGGGATGTCTTTTCAGGTCAAACACCTTTTCTTAACGCAATTTATTAGTAGCTTGTAAATCTCTACCTTTCTCCTTAAAGTGAATCTTATTTTTGATTGGTTGGAGCGTTTTTCAGGATTGAAATTGATTCTGTTTTCTTTTCTTTTCTTTCTTTTCCTTTTTTAATGTTGGGTTAAAATTGATTCTGCCCTTACATTTGATCATTTTTTAATTTTCATTCTTAATATTGCTTCATGGAACCTTTATGGGCCAGGTTTTGCACAGATCTTCTGCAGAATATCTTTATTTTTTATTTTTCTTCCTTTTTTTTGGGAATAAAATGGCATTGAAATTCATTAATTTTAACCATTTACGTTCCCACTGACCCAAAATTTTACTGTACGACTGCAGCCGACACCATTTTGTTTAGATTTTATACTCCCCACCTGGCTTTGCCACCAACTCTCTACCATATTCGTTTCAGTACATTGACTTTTGAAGGCAATGATCTAACTTTTTCCTACATATTTACGTTCCTACTTTTAAGAATGTTTCTTTATTAGTTGATAAGAATATAACCACAAATTTTCTAAAAGAAGTAAAAAATTTGAATAAACATACTAGAAATGCTCAGCCATATATCATAACAAGAAAGACAACAAGAACAAATGATAAGGATAAGGATTAATTTCAAATTTAGTACTTGATTAATAAAAATTTTCATATTTTACTTTTGCCATCCAAAAACAAAACTCCCCCTTTAAGCTTATCATAAGTTGCAGTTTTACTATTTTTTTTTATTTTAAAAAAACAAGATATCAATTTTTAAATGGTTTTAATTATGTTGGGGTCACGTTAGTGTTGAAGATTATTAACGATTTTAATCATGTGTGGGTCACCCGATGAGCACATGTTAAATTCTTAAAAATTTGATACCTCAAAAATAGAAGAATCGAAGTTGTTACTTGATAAATTTAGGAAGAGTTTTGTGCTATTAAGTTGCAAGAAAACAAAAAAGGACAAGAGGATTGTCTGTAAAGAGAGGATTTTCTGTAAAGCATAAAAGAAAAAACTAGTACCAAGGGTGTGGTACCGACAAGAGGAGGTACATATCTCTTAGGTATGGACTTGGGAGTCAGGACAAGATACCAAAGCATATATAGCGCAAGGGCATGGTGATGATCTGGTGACTGATGAATATGGATAGCCACACAATATTTTTCTTCTTGATTATCAAAATGGGCACAAGTAGATATCTTCAATGTATAGATTGTTGTATTCAAGTACTCGAGGAATTTTTGTTTCCACAAAAAAAAGTACTCGGGAACACTTTATATTGGTTAATATCATTAATTTGGATATTATAATAGAAGAAAATAAATAAAGAAGCTATACATACTTGATGTAAATGACATTGATGTATATTGTAGTCAAAATATACTACACTCAAATATATTGCAAGTTCTAGACCATCATTTAATAGCGTGGGATTAAACATAGTTAAAGACGAACTTTGGGGACAACACAAGCTATTGCATTAAATATTTAAGATTAACTTAATTCCAATTCATAAAATTAAGCTAAAGATCCCCGAGTCTTTATTGTTACAATGACAATCTTCCAAATTATGAAAAGGAACCAACCAAACACCCCAACACAAAATAAATTAATTAACCAGCGTCTAATCACAACATATATCAATCGGTCACTGGCCAAGAGCAAAAGCCTCAACAGGGAAAGTCTTGGTGATACCGGCGAGGCTCTTGAAGTGAATCTTCCCGGTTGGCGGATCATCCGCAGTGATCTGGTTCACCGGAGGCCACAGCAAGAGCTCCCTAGCCTTCACTCCCTTGAGTTTCTTGATCTTCTTCTTCTCGATGTAGCCATCTATCTCGCTGTCATAGCTAACCAGTTTGGTGATGATCTTGAACTTATGTTCAATCTTCTTCTCCTGCATAATCCACATGTAGCCCGTGCTCTCGACAAATCCCACTTCGATCACATTCGCCAGTGGAAGAAGTCCTGCCGGGAGTTCGAATTGTTCGAGAAGAGATACCGCGAATTTTAGGCCTTCTTCGTGGCCTTTCTTCACAATGCCTCCTTCCTTCTCTGTTGCCATCTATGAAATATGCTATATGGTTTATATTTGAGTTTCTTGTTGCAACTAATTTCTTTTGTAAAATAAAGGATGCTTTGTAAATTTGTTGATTGAAGGAAATTGAGAGGCATGAATTTATAGGCTCTTGTAGATATAAGAGTACAAATAAGTTGAACAAATTGCATGGTGGAAACCAATGCGATTTGCTTTGTAGTAGTCGTCAATGTGATTCTTTGTCAATGATCGTTTGTTTTTATGGATTACTAACAATATGGTTTGCCAATTATTTGGAAGTTACTAAACCAAAGTAAGTGTAGGATCTGGAAAAGAAATTAAGTAATTGTTAGGATCGAACTAATATGAATATGGATTAGCCGGCTTTCTAAAACCTTTGGTTCATTTAGCTTAATTTTGAAATTAATAGTTGATCCATATATCTCGTAACAAAGTAAATTTTATTCGAGTAGTACCATCATTACCAAACAAACAGCAGTTGAGGTTTTTTGTTTTTTGTTTTGTTTTGTTTTTGTTTTTTTTTGTTTTGCTGAAAGAGTAATCATCTTACATTCTTATTTCTTCAAATTGAACCTCGTATAGTTAAATAAACACTAAAAAGGACTCCTGGTAAAGAGGATTTTTATCAGATTATAAGCCAACGTTAGCAATAATATCATCCTAATATCCTTTTCAATTTGTGTTCATTTGAGAATTTTTAGCAACAAATATTTCCCTAAGCTTTAGTTCAATATCCTTAGAGAGAAGACAGACGAGGTTAATTCAACGTGAGGTAAGCAATGTCGTTATATTTTCTATATATCAAAAAAAGCACATTCATGTTATTGAGTATAGCATATGGGGTAAAGTTTTCTTAAGCATTATTAAAGGATAAAACAAAATTAGAGGTTGAGAAGTACTAGAGCCAAATGTTCATAGTTCAGTTGGCGTTGACGATACAACCAATATGTATAGGGCTCTAGAGAGATGAGGAAGAATATATTTTATGAAAAAAAGAAGAAGAAAAAGGGGTTTTTGATGTTTTTGCCCCCATAAATTCTTAGTTAATTGAGTTTCTTAAACTCTTAATTTTATTAAATTATCTTATTATGTACCACGGAGTGTCACAAATCAACAATGGTTGTTGAAATTGAGACATAAATGTCTTGGTGCACTTGACAAGATGTGCACTACTTTATTTAAAATTTTGGAGAGTCTTTATGGTGGAACAAGTCATTTTACTCTTAAATTAATTTTTCAATGGTTTTATCTACAGAGAAGTAGTTTTGTGTAGTCTAAATAGACATGCATAAATTTAATCATTAAAAAATTAATTTAATAATTAAAAATAACTGTCCTGATCAGTAAAGTAAAATAGCTTGATAGCTTGATTCACCGTAAAAATTCTCAAATTTTGGTCTTTACCCGTGTTTATGTCCAAATTTTCAACCGAATAAATTGATTTAGAAGCACTCTATAATACTCTTAAAAATTTTGGGGAATAATCTATGAAAATTAGAAGTTCAAAGACTACTACATACCATTAAAGGAGGAACTTAAGAGGACAGAAATGTCAAATACTGAAAAAAGGGAAGAAAAGAATTAGCAAATATGGTGTAGAACTAGAAGAGGAACAGTTAAAAGATGTCAAACACACGTGATTAGGTCTAGCCTAACGAATAACTAATCCTTTCAGCGCAAATAATAATAATAAAAAATTTATAACATTAAAATGTTTCACTGATCAGTTGGCGCGCGGATTATATATAAGAGCGAAGTCTACAAAATTCAAAACCGCAGAGAATAGCGAAAACAGAGAAAGAAAGAATGGCGATGCAAATTTTCCAGAGAGAGGAGCACTGCAAAAGAATCTCCAAGTGGAAAGCTCGCAATGCTAAGATTTCTCTGGAAGCCTATCGCAACTTGATTGATTCTCGCAATTTCTCCGATCTCTCTATCAACTATCTCAATCAGGTTCTGAATCCTTCTTCTGATCATCGTTTTCTATTTTTCACTTTCAGCAAGTTTCAATTGAGATTTCCTATTTTTCCTTGTTTGATCTGTTTCAAATTTCTTTTTGCAGATCATCAGCATGCACGGTTACAAGAAAATCCACAAGGCTCCTAAGGTTTTCTCTTCTTTTTTTTTTTCTTTTTTTTTTGAGTCATTAATTAACGTATTTAGGTTCCGTTCGTTTGCTGAGAAAATGGAGGAAAACAACTAGTAACTTTTGTTTTCTGTGGAACCAAATAGATTCTGAGCTTAGGCTTCAGTGCTTCACTCTGATTTTTTGAATTTTGGTTTTGAAATTTAAACAGAAGGTCATAACAGAGGCCGTGAGCAGCATCTCCTTTGCAAATCCAAGCCGTTCCACTCTCAGAGACGAAATCTCGCCGTCGGTATCGGCGACAGTCGAGGCCGTCGTCTCTGATCTGAACGCTCTCAACTGGCAAGAGTGCTCCGTCACCTCCGTCCAAAGCCTGAACTCAACGATCCACCTGGCGACTAAGGAAAATTCCAATGGCGATAAATTGAAAGGTCCACCGTCGAAGTGGGCGGCAAAGAGAAAGAAACGCGATTGAGAAGGCTGTGCGTTCGGATCATGCTGTATCCATTGGTAATGCTTCAGATCTTCTTCGTTTGGCTGTTTTACTTGTTTTCTCGATCGGAAGAAACTCGATCGGAAGACTCGAGAGTTTTCTGCGATTTTCAATTTTCTCTGTTTTGGCGGGAGCTCGTGAACCTCCATGCCGAGGGGTAGATCTGCAATATCTGTAAAGAGTAGGGGCTTTTTTGTTATACTAAAACTGGAATTGATCCCATCGGTGGTAGATTTGTGATTTCATGATATAATGGTATTTCTTTGGTATGATGTCTCTTCCCCAGCTAAACAAGCATATGGACACACACATAAATATTATTAATGCAATTAGGCAATATTATTCGTTTTACATTTTGTTTTTATAACTGTTTCAACTCTTGTTAATTAGCTACTTGTTCTTTTTTTTTTTTCACGTTAAATTTTAGACCCTATATGGTTATAGAGAAACTAAAAGGGCTTACATGTAAACGGAGATTATAAACCGATATTAGCTCAAATATCAACTTAATTACACCGCATACAATTCACATTATATTCCGAGATACTTTTAACTTGCTAATATTTATTAAATGCGGATATGGCTTTTTTGTCCCGATCAGAACTTAAAGCTAAAGAGTTTATAGTCCATATTGCATGTAACAAGTAACTTATGTGTTGAACAATAATTAGAAACCAAAAAAGGAAAAAAAAAAAAAAAAAAAAAAAAAAAAGGGAGTTGTCATAACTCAGCAATGTGGTGGTGAATATTAGTAATTAGAAACCAAAAAAGGCCCAAAAAAAAAAAGAAAGAAAAGAGGCAAGTTGTCATAACTCACCAATGTGGCGGTGAATAGATGGCTTTTTTGTCCCGATCAGAACTTTAAAGCTAAAGAGTTTATAGTCCATATTGCATGTAACAAGTAACTTATGTGTTGAACAATAATTAGAAACCAAAAAAGGCAAAAAAAAAAAAAAAATGAGGCAAGTTGTCATAACTCAGCAATGTGGTGGTGAATATTAGTAATTAGAAACCAAAAAAGGCCCAAAAAAAAAAAAAAAGAAAAGAGGCAAGTTGTCATAACTCACCAATGTGGCGGTGAATATTAGTAATAAAATTGAGTGGCGTTAACGCCCAAACTGTGACAGTTAAGAAGATAACAAACTGCAGTTACACTAATTCCACATGACTGCGCGCGGAACGAAATAACTAATTCTTGAATACATCATAAACGCATACATACATGTGTACATATATATACACACATATATGAATATTAGTAATTAGAAACCAAAAAAGGCCCAAAAAAAAAAAAGAAAGAAAAGAGGCAAGTTGTCATAACTCAGCAATGTGGCGGTGAATATTAGTAATAAAATTGAGTGGCGTTAACGCCCAAACTGTGACAGTTAAGAAGCTAACAAACTGCAGTTACACTAATTCCACATGACTGCGCGCGGAACGAAATAACTAATTCTTGCATACATCATAAACGCATACATACATGTGTACATATATATACACACATATATACATGTATGCATCTATAAATGAAAAACCATTAGAAGGCAAAAGAAGAAGCAAAAAAGAACAGAAACCAGTAGTGGAAGCAGAAGATAAAGAATTAATGGCGAGGGAGAAAGCTGAGAAAAAGGAGTTGGGAAGGAAGACGTGCAAGTCGAGGGACAGCAAAGCCAAGATATCTCTGGAAGACTACCTCCGTTTCCTTCATTCTCGCAATTACTCGGATCTCTGCGTCAACTTTCTCAATCAGGTATCTCTAATTTGATCCCTTAATCATATCGCCATTTTTCGATTTGTTCATGTTTTCAACTTCATCCAAACATCAAATTGAATTGAAATCAAATGATTAATTGTTGCAGATCATCAGCATGCACGGTTACAAGAAAATCCACAAGTCTCCCAAGGTCTTTTTTTTTCTCTAGGTTTCCGTTTGTTTCCCGACAAAATAATGGTGGTGAGTACTGCCAACATTCCACGACTAATACTTTTGGTTTTGGACTTCCACAGAAAGTGCTAGCTGAGGCAGTGGACAAGCTCGCCCTTGTAAATCCATGTCGCTCGACTCTCAGGGAGAGAATCTCGCCGACGGCGTCGACGACGAATCCAAACATCAAATTGAATTGAAATCAAGTGATTAATTGTTGCAGATCATCAGCATGCACGGTTACAAGAAAATCCACAAGTCTCCCAAGGTCTTTTTTTTCTCTAGGTTTCCGTTTGTTTCCCGACAAAATAATGGTGGTGAGTACTGCCAACATTCCACGACTAATACTTTTGGTTTTGGACTTCCACAGAAAGTGCTAGCTGAGGCAGTGGACAAGCTCGCCCTTGTAAATCCATGTCGCTCGACTCTCAGGGAGAGAATCTCGCCGACGGCGTCGACGACGATCGACGACGTCGTTGAGGATCTCGAAGCGCTCAACTGGCAAGAGTGCACCGTCACCTTTGTACAAGCCCTGAACTCAGCGACCAACGGCCTTGTCATCTACACTTCTCCGGAGCCGCCGAAGCGCCGCCATGCCGATCGCTCCAAGGGCCCAACAAATAGGCGGAAAGCTCTCGTCCCGATCCAAAATGGCGGCGCGGTCAAGAAAGTTGGGCTTGGGCAGCCGAGGAAGGCGGCGAAGAGGATGAAACCGATCGTGGCGGTGATGAACGGCTCGTGATGGCTCTCCTGAAAGCTCTTTTGGCTTTTGGATTCTTGGTTCGGATGGGTAATCTTTTGCTTTTGTTTGTTTGGTTGCTCGATTGCGATACTCGGAAATTAGCTTGCTTCTTCTTCTTTTTTTTTTTTTTTGGAGGCTTAGTGCTGATGAATGGGTAAAATCTGTATCAGACTATCAGTAGAATGAGGGCTTTTCTGTCATTTTGGTTCTGGTAGACCTGGGATTTTGATATTGTCCATCAATGATACGAATTTCTGACCTTTGAATCTATGACGTTCATTTTCGTTGAATGAAATTTTTTACACTCTGGTAAGAGGTAATTGAGGTAAAAGGGTAATCATAGTTAAGCGGACACATGAGGAAAAGATCCAATAAATAGCTTTCAATCATGATTTTGAAATCAAGAAACAACAATAAAATGGTTTTGTTTTGACCTCGTTATTACCATTTCATGAACCCAAAAGTAAATATATCAACTGAAACAAAAATATGTGTCTTTTCTTAGGGGAAAAAAGCATCTTTCCAAAAAAAAAAAAAAAAAAAAGGAAAGAAAGAAAGAAAGAAACAAGGTCAGTATCGATACTCGCAAGAAAGCAGAAAAAAGTATCTAGATTCTAGGCCATTAGAATTGGTCCAGTTTTGTAATTGGAATATAGTTAGTCCGCGTGTGCTTAAATAGGTTAGGTTGAAATTTACCAAAATTTGATATGATTAGAGACATTGGCTTAGTTTGGTATTGTTGTAGATTTTGAAAAAAATATTTTTAAGTGTATTGAAAGAAAAAACAACTGTTACAAAAAAAAATTGAGTGTTTGATAAATTATAATTATAGTAGTTGTGCTGATTCTAAAATCAATGTAATAACGTTTGATAAATTATGAGGTTGAATTACCGTGAATAATTAAAAATTATGACTATATTATATTATACTATAATTAC